TTACTTTCACAGTTGTAATTATTAGCCGTTTGACTTACAATTGTCACTGACAAAACTTCTTTTACCAACAACTTGGTTTCAAACGTACAACCACTAAACCACTGACCATCTGCTTACTTATATGATCTTTATGTCAATGATTATAAGTGCAGAATTACTATTCCGTAAATTTCCAAGCATACTTTGCTCATATTAACCAAAGATTAGTTTTTGTCGTATTTTTGTAAATAAAACATCCTTTCTTGTAAAATCATTTAATCAAATAACCAGTTAATTACATTTTTACAATTATTTATTGATTGTACAATATGGCACAAGGGAGATAACTCCCAAACGTTTCATTAATATTGCAAAATATGATTAATGAAGTTCAATTTGGTCCATATCCTAGAACAATAGTGCTGTGTCTAACACAATATTTATTTAGCATTTTTTCCCTCATACACAGATATAACTGATCTTACATGATTAATTAAACGCTTATCTTCTATTTTTGTTGATCATCATTTCACTTAACAAGGAGAATGTTAACAATTTATTTAATTCAGCTAGTCTTCTGGGCGACAAAAGAATTTTTACAAAAACTATTTGAAATATCTGAACATTTTTCAAAAAGAATGTGTATTTTATGATATGAAAAACATTTCTGTTCGAAAAACTGTAAATTATTCACATTGGTTTTATTTATTGTCAATAACCAGTTTATCACAAAATGTCCTTGATAGAATAAAAAAATTGCTTTTCATTTCCGATAATTTTTTTTTTTTTAAAATACGGTATATGGAGATAGCGAACAGTATCCAAGATCAAAAGTCCATAAAACAATACAAGATAGAAACAGAGTAAAAACAGAGCCCCAATACATAGCAGGTGGAATCAGGTGCATATAACAAATAAATGTATGTTTATCACGTGATCGACTTATACACTGATAAAGTGTCATTTATTTCTCTTGTAAATTTACTAATAGATTGGAACTTTGACATATTCACTCAAATAAAGTTGGAGTTTTCTGTTAAGTGGTAATTGTTTAATTGTTCTCGTCTAAAGCTATTATCTTTAACAAAAACGTTGTCTTCTTAGCGCAATTCTCATTCATTTATACATAAAATTGGACTTACAAATGAATTAAGATTCGTGTGCAAGAATAAACATTAGTTTTAGATAAGAAGACAGGTATAGGTTAGTTTATTTTTTTTCTCTCGTCCTTTTAAAAGAATGCACAAATTTCACATTTTAATAAAGCTAATAAAACGGGAAGTAGTTAAAGCAAGGAAAACATAAACTGTTATAAAAAAATGAATTTCTTTTTCTCACACGAAATGTTTCTCTTGCCTTAAACATAAAAATAAGGATCAGGAGGAAGGTTGAAAAATGTTTGAGGTTCAACATCCTGCACTAAATTAAAGTGGTTTCTTTTTAATTTCTATTAACAAATACACTAACTCCTCTTAACAGTCTACATATAACAATTATAAACTTAAGCAATTGTAATTTGACCTCAAATTTTTTTATCGAAGAGTTTCCAATAGTCATTTATTTGAATATCTTATATGTGTCTTTTATGTGTCCTATAGGTAAATGCTCAAACGTTTTTAAAAGGGCAGACACTTTTGTAAACAGTAATCATACTTCATAACTTCATTAGACTTAAAATTACTTATAAATTTATAGAGAAATGACCATTAGTCTTCACCACAATTGAGTAATAAGTTAATTTTTTCGTCTGTAATTTCCTTTAGAATTTGCGATAAAATAAGCATTGTTTAAACTAACATGGGGTGTGGGAGGTAGAACAATGTTCTTGTTAGAAGCCCTTAGCCTTTAATTTGAAATGGATCGTTATTATCTTTGTAATAACTTTTAATAAAAAAAGAACATAAATATAATACATGTTGTAGCCAAACCAAAACAATTCACTTAGTTAAACAAACTAGAATGTTCCAAAGAACGCATGTGTCGTTTACTTTTTAGCATCATTCAAGATGCTAAAAACTCAGATATGTTAAAGACCGATATAGAAAACGTGACATTTGCACAGTTTAAATATGTTTTAATATGTATTACTTATTTTAAAAAAATAAACAAAGCAACTGAATACTTGTAGAAAATATCATAAAGCTATCAATAATGGATAGAACTAGGGCGTAGTTTTTACCAGTTATATAACATGTATCAGCTGTTTGTCACGTGACTTGTATAAAACAAAGAACTGTTAAGCTGAATGTAGGAAATGAGCATAGTGCAAGGGCATACGCTTGTCCATCAAGAAAAAAAATGATACACATTAAAAGATGTTTATTTCCTCTACCCAAAAAGTGCTGGGGGCTAGTCAGTACTGTTTGCGAAGTACTGAAAATTTTGTCGAAAATGCTTATAATAGCTACAAATTTCCACTTCACTTAATTTCTGTTATAAATAAAAATAAGGTAATGCAGTCCTGTATCTGCTCCTAGCACTTTTTAAAATATATACTATATAAGCAATAAATATTCCAAATTTCAGCTCAAAAAACATTGTCTATGCCTTTTGATGTAAATTACGAATACGCTCATCATTTTAGCGGGGATCCGGGTTAGAATAGGTCCTCAGTAGCCCCTTGCTTGTCGTAAAAGGCGACGAAATGGGGCGGTCCTTCGGATGAGACCGTATAAACCGAGGCCCCGTGTCACAGCAGGTGTGGCACGATAAAGATCCCTCCCTGCTCAAAGGCCGTAGGTGCCGAGCTTAGGCCTAAATTTGCAGCCCTTCACCGGCAATGGTGACGTCTCCATATCAGTGAAATATTCTGGAGAGGGACGTTAAACAGTATACAATCAATCAACATACATTCCTTTCCCTGTGCAGCACACATCGTTGGAAACCCACGGGTGATCTCGTATTTACCTACCACCAGTGGGGAGACTCGCTGAAATATCACCGTAAAATATGCTAAATTATTGTAAGATTTTTAAAATTTAATTTTGTTTAATAAATTTATTTTTAGGGAAAATTTTAGACTTTGTCTTTTAAAAGATATAAAAAGGCAAGTAAAGGCACTCTCTAACAATTCATCCTTCATTTCATTAACATTCTCAATAGAAGATACCGCTTCCATATTTGTCAGACCCATATTTTCAATAATTTCATCCACAAAGAGTTGCCGTAGCTCCTCAGAAATTTTATTTTATCCCATATCAAACTTCCATTTATCAGCCATGTTTCATGTGTAATTTACATGTAAAATTTAGCAGCAGCCGGATTTGATATTTACATGGTTTTTTATTTTTTAGCCCTATTTTATGAATCTTTATCCAAGAAAATAAATGATATATGTAGATTTGTTAATAAATATCACAGAACAGGGCTTTCTTTGGTATGTTTTATTGTTTTTAGTTGTGTAACCTACTTTATAATGTTTACATGTAAAATGTAGTACTTCTACATGTAGATATTATTACGCCGAGTGATTCGGCCATGTATGACCTCTGACCTCTGACAAACTTAATACAGAATTGAAGATATTTTCTCTCTGTATGTTTATTTAGTGGAAAGATACCACAAATGTATATATTTAATAATAAAACGCCTTTTACAATTAAAAAAAGAAGTCTTCTATCTGCCTCTCATAGCACATGAAATACCAAGTTTACCTATTTGACGTCATGTTGACAAGTTCATTGCGATCAGTGATTTCTCTATAACCAGTTGTTTTGAAGAAACACGCACGCTAACTCTCGATTCTCGCCTACATTTTGGAACCATTTAATTCAATATAAATAGCAATTTGGCCTAAAAATCTTTGTTTAATACAAAGAACAGTTCAATGATAATTGATAAATCGTCTTGATACCAGCGCTAAACAGTAAATTATCCATAATTCCAGCTCTTGAAGACAGGGGGGTAGAAGATATTTTCCATTGAAATCGGAGTTTCAAGCATCACCGTATTTTGAAATTGTCTTGGATATGATTAAATGTTCCTTATATCTCTTTTTATGTTTTAGGCAAGTAAATAAAACATAAATATTTCAACAAAATATAATTGTATATTGCTTTGAAATTGGTGGAAAATAAGCATTTTTATCGTTTTTTTTTGAATAAATATATGTTCCCCCCCCCCCGTGTCACACAAAAAGCTTTGGTATGAATTTGTGAAATAACATTCCATATTACATGTAAAAAGGAATTTTTGTGACACGGGGGGAGGGGGGAAAGATGTTTTAAAAATATTTTCCGTTTTCCGTTGATTTCTATAGTGAAAAACACAAGTTTGACCAAAATTTTAGAGTTATCTCTCTTTGTTTTCCCAAATAAGTAATGTTTTATGAAAATCTATGTAATTAGCTATAAAAAAATATCAAAATTCATCGAATATGTTTACTTTTGAAAATTGACTTGGAGGTAGGCGGGATAACAATACTATCGTTCGCAGTTCTTTATCTAGCAACTTTTAAGTGCATTGAAATGTCTTATATTAGGCCTAGCCCTCTTTTTTTCAGCCTTAAGAATGTTACGTTTATCTCAGAAAAGACTTTGGGAAATGTAAATATTTACTGTCAGCAAGATGGTTCCAGCATTTGCCTACAAAGAACAATCGATATCCATTAGTGCAAAAAACTATGAAATTCAAAGAAATTATGGTTCCCAACCCCAATTGAATACTTAAGTTCGTTTTCTTGATTCATTGCAAGTAGTTTGTACCATACAAGTATTTAAGTTAATATTTTAAAACAATTGTATTGGTATTAGATTGTCAGATGTTTTAGACTGTAACTTCAATGTTTTAAAAGTATGAAAAAAGTTCAATGCAATAGAACCACTGATGTTATTTCAAGTCATGTAAATAAAAAGACCCACCTTCATTTCGATTTCCTTTAATTTATGTATCCAATCAGAAAAGGGATTGATAAAGAATTCGTTTAAAAATTACTTAAATAGTATAAAATGGATATCCATAATCACCACTCAGAAAGAGGAGAAATGATAATGATGTATAATTGCGATCATAGGAGATTGTTGTGGGCCTTGTTTATTGTTTCAATAAGACTTTCCGAATCAGTATCGAAACGGTATATTGCTGAATTAAATAAACACGGCGTTTTTATTCGAGAAAATCCTTTGGCAGAGTATGACGCATACTCAGTAACTATGTGTGCATCCATGTGTGGTCCAGGATGTACGTATTTTAGCGTCAATTTGCATGTCAAGAAATGTCGAGTTTACTCGGGATGTCAGCCACTTAATTTTACAGATGTTCAAGAGGGATGGAGGTACTACAATCCGGAATCTGAAGGTATTTCATTTTCACATTACGAACTCTACTAAAAGAAAATTATTGAAGCTACTAATAATTTGAAATTTCTGATGGAAATTAAAATATGGTAATAGAAAAAAAAAGAAAAGTTAAAGACTTGAGCAGTCCCTATGCAGAGGGACTATAGAAAATTTAGAATAGGGAATAATAGGGAATAATTTTACTGAAAACAGAGAATTCTTAAAAAAAAATATTCTCTATAGATTTAAAACTGAAATAAATTTAGAAGGTCTTATCATTAATTTTAATCTTAGATTTTGATATTTAACATGGCCTTATATAAATAGCCGAAAAAGGCCTGATTGGGACTCAAGAGATTGAAAAGTGTGGTTAAGATACATATTCATATGTATAGCTATTATAATGTCAATACTGTTTTCTTTAAACCCTGTTCTTTTATATTTTTTTAGGAAATAAACGTCCGCTCAATTGTAAGGCTTTGCTTGCTGATGGCCATACAGTGTCTAATGTTTACACTATTTATCCCCCTAACAACCAATGGTCAGTAAACGTCCAGTGTGATATGACCACCAAGGGTGGAGGATGGACGGTCAGTTTAATAATTTTTCGATCAATTAGTTCATGGCAAAATAACTGATAAAAGAAATCAAGATTTGTTATACTAATATCAAAGACAATTCTTCATAAATCTAGGTTATACAGAGGCGTGTTGACGGATCAACCGATTTTGACAGAACTTGGAATGAGTACAAGAATGGATTTGGTTCAGTTAATTCATCTTATTGGTTAGGTAAATACATTTTGAATCACTTGAAAAGGAAAATTATATCTCTATTTGAGGTATATATGAAATTCAGTAGAGAAGGATATGGAGATAACGAACAGTATTCAATCTCAAAGTGCATTAAACAATATACAAAATAAGAGCAGAGCAAACACGGACCTCCAAAACATCAGAGGTGGGATCAGGTGCCATGGAGGAGTGAGCATCCCCTGCCGACCGGTCACACCCGCCGTGTGCTCGTTGTCATGATCAGGAAATAACGGAAAAAATCCGTCGTCAATTTAGTGTATAAATAATGGACTAAAACTTGGTATGAAAAACGTCAGTCAGCATTTGACTCAATGATAAATTGTATTTGCTGACAAGGTCATTGTATCGACCATATAGAACTTACGAAATGATGACTTTAAACGAGACTGTTGATATTCTTGTTTCATCAACTTGCTTGTCAATAATTTACCTTATTTAAAAAATTGTTCATACGTAGAGCATGCTCTTGCGTATCGAATCAACTGAGATATATATACTCCGCATGTAAGTGATGAAGGTATATTGCTGCATAAGTAAGGGAAGGTGACGATAGAAAAGTTAAAGTCATCACGTTTATCATATAGCTTGGTTGTTAGATTGCCATTAGTGTCTTTTTCAAGTAAAATATCCAAGTATGAAGCAGATATGTCGGACTCTGTGGTATCTTTTATCTCAAGCTCTCCAGGATATATCGTATCGACGTAGGAATGGAAATTATCATGATTATTGATTGACAATACGTCGTCGATATATCTAAATGTCGAGTTGAAGGCCACAGCAAGTGTTTTCTTCTTTTCACGCATAAGATTTTGCATAAATTCTGCTTCATATGAACATTAAAATAAGTCTGCCAGTAACGGAGCGCAATTTGTACCCATGGGAATATCAATAGATTGTTGGAATACCTGGTCTCCAAAAACCACATAGATATTGTCAATCAGAAACTCAAGCATATTTTTGATGTCAAATTCAGAGTACTAATGTGTGCAATCAGAATCTGTTTTAACAAAATAATTTTGCACATGACCAATGACAAGTTAAGAAAATTTACGAGTTCCACTTCGATTGAATTATTAACTGTCAATGATATCAAAAAGCCTAGACTTTAATTTATCGTGGGGAATTGTTGTGTATAAAGTTGAAAAGTGGTAAGTTTTTAAGCTGTTGATTTTTGTAAAGTCTTGTGATTTTAAATTGTCCAAAAGTTCTTTAGAATTTTTAAGTATCCACATCTGATTTACACCACTTTTTGAATATATAGTTGCACAGTACTCTTGAAAATTCTCCTTCACTACTGTCAAAATCTTAGTGAAAAGTAACGAAAGAGTCTTGGTTGAACATTTACTGGAACCTGCAATGTATCTTTGTTTGTAAGGATTTTTATGAGGTTTCGGAATCTAATATATATCAAGTAGTTCAAATTCATTTTGGCACTGTAGAATATTAAAAGTATTCAAAAATGAAAGGTGATTTTGAAGAATGTCTTCCTTAGAAAGAGAAGTATGAGTATAAGTAGGATTACCACTTGTAGAATTAAATATAATATTAATTAAATAATAATATTATAAAAAATAGAGGTTCTTCTAGAATGCAATTTATATAGTGAGCCTTACAAACGAACACAATGTTGTTACCTGCTTTGTCAGCAGGAACCAGTACATACTGATCGTGTAATCTATCTTATTCTTTTTTCACTTCTGGTTTATTGAACACAGAAGGATAGATGGTTGAGACATATACTTTAATAGTTTCAACTTTTATACATACGATTTTTTCCCCTTTTTTTAATTATATAAAATGTACATGTTCATAGCTTGTTCCTCCATAGGTTTTACTTAATGAATATTACTGTTACATTTTAGGAAATGACGTCATTCATCTGTTAACCAAACACAAGCCGTCTATGTACGTGTCCATAACTCTGACCAATGGAACCACTCTATACCAACAATACGAGGAATTCTCCATAACCGGCGAGACAGACAAATACAGACTTTACCTGAATGGATCGACCACAGGAACATTAGGTGAGATTTATGTTTAATAGCTCACCTGAGCCGAAGGATCAATTGAGCTTTTCTGATCAAACAGTGGAAAGTTGAAAGTGCCAACAACTGAAAAAAATATAGCTGCCCCCCACCCGCAACTGTAATGACTTTCGTATGGGCCTGCCGTTCTTCCGTAAAAATATACTAGTATTCTATCAGTTTCAGTTTCAAATAGATTTCGTCAAAATTTTAATGGAACTGTAATTTCGAACAGAAAAGTCAAGCACCGTTTAGTGCACAAATAATAAAAAGAGACAAGAACAGCACGATTCGCCATCTCTTTGATTAAATTATACAATATTATACATAAACCTTTTTTTTATCATAGTAGCGGTCCTTGTTAGAAATACTAGTATACAAATGTTGTGTTGAAGTGAAACAGGGTAAAGGTGCCACAAAAATAAAAGATTAATGTGCAGTAACCGATTTTAATTGATGTAATTTTTTAGAAAGTAAGAAATTAAAAGACGGTTTCAATTTGAGGTATAATTTCAAAGAAAGTTTCAATTTAAGGTACGGTTAAAAACCATTCAAAAGACAATCCTTCATATGCCTATTTACTATGTTTCTACCCCACGACTAAGACAGGCGAAGAAACTGAATTGTATAAACAATGGAAACTTAGAGCTTTAAACATTTTAAATAAAATATTCAAAAACGTAAATGTTTTAAAATCCGCTTGCGTGGAAGTAGCGAACGTTTTTTTTTTTTTAAATTCATGAATTTTTATGAACGAAATAAACATTTTTAAAAAAGCAAGTTTACAGATTTTGGCGTCTCTTAATTTATTTCTCAATTATTTCAGTTATTGTCCACTCAAATTTTTCGATGATACAGAAAATACATGGTGTTTCAATCCTATCGTAACAGTTATAGGGAATTACGTGTGTGTTTGTTGGTGAGTTAATGCTGACTCCTAAGAATTTTTTGCGAAGGAGTGCCCCGTTTTGCGCGCCATGTCCTTCTGCATTAGGATTCTCTCTCTCTTTATATATATATATATGCTCTAAAATGGTATGAAAATAGAAAGAACACAAGAAATCCCAAAGGAATTGTTACATACTAGTCGCTTGGAAGAAAAAAAAAATACTTTCTTAAGTTCTTATTCGCAAACCGATTTAATATAACTTATTTAAATAACATGTCATTTTAAGAATTTTTGAAAATTGAATTATAGACAGGCGACGTCATTACGTTTTCGGTGAGTAACGTCAAAGTTGTTTTTGGAGCGCCTCACATAAAATATTGAAAAAGTGCGATATTTTTAAAATTTATGTATATTTGTATTCAGAAAGAGTTCGGCTACCAATATTTACCAAAAAAAAAATTTGTGAAAAATTGACCTTAAGGGCACTTTTCTCGTGACGGCAGTCATTTATTTATAACATTTTTTTTGAGTTACAGGCTTTATATGACTGAACAGTGTGCTGATCATGGGAAATTATACATCAATTTGGCACAATTTAAAATGCTAAAATGTACTAAAAGTGATTACAAGAAAACAAAATTATTGATAATAACAATAGTAGTATAAGATAAAAGATAAACATTCTTGTGATTATATAGATAGGTTATGTTAACTTACTGATTATGTTTCTTCCTAAATGTTTCTGAAGGTTACCTTTTCTTGATGTTAAAGTGCATGTTTATTTTCAATCTTCTTTAAATCACATTTGAATATTTTATGAAGATTTTTTTTAAAAGTAGTGCATTTTGTTATATATTCTTTAAAAACTTTCCTCAGATGCTCTTTAAAATGATAATTTTTAATATTTCTTTGCATGAAAAAAAAGGTTTTTCTTTTGCTCTGAAACCATTTATTATTGATAAATATTTAACATTATTTCGGCTTGAAGGTCAGACCGAAGCTTTCATTGCGCAATACTTTGACAGAAAAGTAAAATCAGGCGTATTTAATTCTTTAAAACAATCCTAAAATAATGAGGGGGGAACTTGTTAAATATGACATTTTGATATGCATTATCTAAAGAACAAGACTGCAATTTTGAATATACTGTACAATTTGGAATCACTCATGAAATATAATAATTAAAGCAACTTATCTATCGATTTTTTTATACGCCCGCTTGAAAAGTGGGAAGGTATATAGTAATCGGGATTTCCGCACGTCCGTCCGTCCGTCTGTTCCGCTTTATCTCTTATCCGCAAATCCTCTTATATAACTAAATGAAATTTAATGAAACTTTCACAGAATCTTTATTACATATTGCCACTGTGACCTCCCATTCCACATTTTTCGTCGACACGTATTTTAGGTTTCCCATAGCAAAACATGGACAATACCATTATATGTTTACCTATGACGTCACTTATAGAAGCTTCTGGATAACATTTGATAGGACGAGTTATTCCTCTTTACACATTACCGTAAAACAATATATAGCAACACATGGACATTATGGAAGGCAGGGGGTATCATTTAGTGGGCTCATTGCTCACAGTTCCTCTAGTTTAAATTTATTTCCAAGTGCGAAAAATTAGCATTTCCACGTAACCCTATAGTAAATGTACCTATATTGAAACGGCCAAGGCAGTAAATTTTCCTTTCCTTAGGCTGGATTTGAATGTACACTAGAGGTTTTATTTAGTTCAAATTCTATAGAATTAAAGAGTCTCTCTATTGTATATTGAAAGGAAAAGGAAACGCATTAGGACATAAAATGCTAAAAAAAATTTACTATGTGACCAAAAATTTGGTTACTTTGCACTAAAATCGCTGGTCAAAATACTCAACCATGAAATATATGGCATAACGTAAAGGAAGTAATAAAAAGTAAAAAAAAAAAAACACGTGCATGTTGATGATGTTATTTTTGTGATCACATTTTATAGTGCCATACGATGCATTTTAGTCATAGACATCGTTTTTGCATATTTGCAGTCAGTATAAATTTCTGGCAATCATGGTATGGCTGCCGGAACTTACATTGGGTCTAGTAATTTAATTCAATATTGCATAAGTGAATAAAAAGGCAACAGCATGTTGCTGTGAAGATTGTTTTAAACCAAATTCAACCAAAAATAAGTTTATTCGGTTGCCAAACAGTTAATTTAAAATCTTTCCGACCAACCATCATGATGACGTTGGCGCGTAACAACGTCACATTAAGATAGGACTTTTCAACATGCCACCTAGGTTATTGTCAACGCATTTTCACTGAATCTGATAATTAAACAGGAGACAATTATGCTCAAATTTTTTCAAGGAAAATGATTGATTGATTGATTGTATATTGTTTAACGTCCGAAAATTTTTCACTCATATGCCGGTGAAGGGCTTCAAATTTTGACCTTCACTCGGCACTCAGGGCCATTGAGCAGAGAGGGACCGCTGACATGGAGCCTCGGTTTTCAAGGTCTCATCCGAAAGACCCGCAACTTTCACTTCAAAGTGCCGACCGCATGGCGAAGGAACAGTTGCTACCCATTTTATCGACGGGGTCAGTCAAGGCCGAGATACGAACTCACAACCTCCCGGTCACGGAGCGAGCGATTTGCAGACTGAGCTACCGTGAACGGTCACCGAAAATGGACAGAAACTCTCAGGTCTAATTTTGGCCGCAAGCTTTGCAATTTTACGTCGATTATATTCTCACACGCACACGTACGCGTCTTATGCCTAGTGTTTTTAGCGTGTTTACACTGGGAAAATGTACATAGTGTTTGTTGAGACTTTTTTTTAAAAATATTCACGTGTATCAAACCAACTGGATTCTGTACATTCTTTGCAGAATCAAAAATTCAGGTAATTCATTGGCCGGGGTGGGGGGATTTGTTGGCTTTAGAATAATACAGCTACTCTCAGATATTAAGACTACCGTCGGAAGGGATTAATTAAAAAAAAAATGAAAAAGATAAATGCTCTGATGAACTGCAAAGGAAAATCAAGTTTGATACTGATGCGCAAGGGGTATTATGGTATTTTTAGTTTTATTTTTGGGGGGTGTCGACATATCAATTTCAATTACTCGGGAATTATACGTCAAAATCATACAAAAATTTGGTAACTTGTTGATTATAGATGAATTAAAATCTTTGATAACAATGCTGGAAAACATATTCGAAATGATTGTTTTAATTTAACTCAAAAGTTTAATATGTGTTTCTTTTTTTTTCTTTCTGTATTGTTTTCACACAATAAAGCCCCAGTCGGCTCCTTTAAATACTTCGTACACTATTAAAGTGACCACTTTTTTTTCTTCAGGTGACAGTCTGTTAGATACTGGGATTTCTAGCAAAGATCTGTCTGGGATGTCATTTACCACCCGAGATCGGGATAATGACGGATGGTCTGGTGGTAACTGTGCCGTTTTGAACCGAGGAGGCTGGTGGTATAACTCCTGTCACCGCGCCAACCTCAACGGTCCCTGGTACCCGGAATACTGGGACAATCCATGGTCTCCTACAGTTGTGTCTAGTAGTGAGATAAAGAAGACTTCCATGATGATAAAACATCACTGAAAAGCTATTGCCTGGGAAGGAATTTGGTACCATATACAGTACAACTCGTCAAATCCGGATCCTTCTAGTTTTTTAGTTGGCTGGACTTGATAGTACTTCTAATAAAAAATCAATGAGACAATTATATTTAAATATGGCCTCGTATTGATCAAGATATTTAAATGCACATTTTAAAGACAAGACATGTTTCACTAAAGTAAGTTTTGGTATTCAGGAGAAATGTATTGCTGCACTTTTGATATTTTTTCAACGTAGCAATATTACTTTCAAAATTATCACTTTTGTGCAAAGGATAAATTGCAGTTTTCCACTGTTGAAAAAGTAAAAATAGAAGTGTATTATGTTATGAAATTTTACTAAGTAAATTTGTGTTCACTAATTTATTTTTTGAAAATAGTTATCTTAATTGCATATAAATTGCTCTGAGTCCTTTATCTCTAAAATATTTTCCCCCAAAACATGGATATTCAGTATACAATATATACAAATATTCAATTTGCAATACGCATGTTCATGTAAAATGATTAATTGAATGATTTATATGATTACTATTAAATGATGTTATTGATTGAATTGTAATACTGTGATTGATTTTAGACGTTGTTATTGTAAAGCTCATATTAGTTTGGTTATGTTATTGATCTAGTATAATATTGTAATTATGTTATAGCTGAATGTAAAATCTTTATATAATTTTAATTATTTTATATTAAAACTTTTCCTTACCATGTAAAATGATCTGTAAGTTATTTTTAATATGTCATGATATAATTAATGTTTGATAATAGTATTAAGTTATGTTTGGAACAAAACTGTTCTTGACGATAATGCAGATGAAAACGTTTTTGCTATTAAGTACTTTTGTATTATATGTATAATTGTTCTTTTAATATTCATCATTTTGAAACTAATAGACTGTTTTGAATTTCAAGTTAAGTAAACAATAAGAATAAAGTACTTATAAATGACTAGATAATGGTTATCCTTGGCTAAAATTTAAAGCTATACATTTAATAAAGATAAGAACAAAAGTGGCATTAATGTATTTGTCGGCTTGTCTTTGTATTAACTGTATGACCTTTAACTTAATATTTGTATCAGAGAAGAAAGAATAATAATCTTGTAAAACTGAGAGTAAGAAAAAATATTCTGAAGCACACAACGGAGGGTAGGTTGTGGTAAACTACCATTCATTTCTATCTTTATACAGTAATTTCTATGATAAGCTGTGTCTTATATTGTTGTGTACCTCTACAGATATTTCAACAGATAATCCGTGGTGAGATTTGTATTGTATTGTTTGTCTCTGATTCTGCCACTGACAGTTATTGCCTTGATCAAACAAATGCCGCGGACATTATTCTCCCATAAATAATAAGGTCAATAAAAATTATCAGATCAGATACACATGTCAAATCTGTACAGTTCAAATTAATATTCGCTGTAGAATCTCAAATTTATTTAGACTATATCAACGTGTTGTCTTGCGCAGTCTTAACAGTGTGTATTGAAATAGCTGATAATATATTCGTTTTTATAACCAAGTGGGGCTGTGTTGCAAACACTTTTGAAATAACGACCACTCTTGAATAATAATTATTGCATTTAAATAAACTGAGTTGGCAAATCTTACCAGCCCTCCTCTATCTCACCGAAATGAGAATCAAATGATCATCCACTAGTATCTGTACATTCGTTTGGACAAATTGTTTATCGTAAGCTGATCACGGTATGATAGACTCTGATCTATCGAACGGAAAGAGTGTAATAAAGATGTTTATTGTGTTACTCTACAATGTATTTTGCACTTCAGTACCGTAGACGGAGACAACGACAGGTCTATATCTCATAGATTGTTGTTACATGTACATATGAAGCTTGTGGTTCAGTTGCTTATGTCCAAAGGATTTACTGTACATGTACATTCATTTTTTTAATACTTTTTTTAAATACCTTTTTTTAATACTTTTATGTTAATGCGAAGGTAAGGTTAAGGTTACAACCAAATATTCTACTTGCCTATATGCTATGATGTAATAATAAGCTATATGACGTAAGATTTAGAGATGAAAATTTCTTAAAATCGATATCTAAGATTGATTTGAGGTCGAAAAAATAAACCAAAATATGCAGAGGAATAATATCAACGGAATTTTGTCGTTCCTGGGCCTCTGTAGTTTTCACAGGGGTTACATACCAAACCCGTGACGTCATAACTGTTGATCATGCAGTAGAAGAGTGAAAGTGAAAAGTAACGAAAATTGATGTAAACAAACACAAGAAATCGGAGTTTAAAAGCATTTTGAATGAATATCATGTGTAATTCTTGTGGGAATAAAGCGTATAAATAAGGTATGGTAAAATAATTCTGCAATTTCTTCGTAAAATTAAAGCAGAGAGGGTGTTTTCTTGCCGATCAGCCTTTCCTCTGTCGTTCGTAACAAAAAAAGATGCAAAAGTTCAACACTACGCCACATACCTTGAAACTTAATTTTTGTTTCTATCTAAAGTTCATATTCTTCTGTTTTTGGAAAGTGCTGCTAGAATCCTATGGTTTACGGGAATTGATGCATTTTTTTCGATGTTATGAACAAAATGTAAAAATTTTAGGAAGGTTTCGTCCGAAATTATTGAATAATTATTTCTATAATAGGAGAGTAGGATTCTAGCAGCACTTTTCATGGTACAGAGATGTTTTAACATAACTATTGATATAAATTGGAACTAATTATCCCCGGGGTAGTGTTAAAATTTTCACTTTTCATTAAGGCATATATCTAATTATAGACGTCACGTGGTGAAGTGCATCCTGTAGTATAAGTTCCATTGAAGTCTATAGAATACACAATTATACTTAAAGTTTTATCCTTGACTTTTCCGATTTATTAGTGTTGTATAAATATTAAGTGTTAATTCGCCGAATTCTGATCCATGTGCTGCCTTAACAAACCCGCGTATCTTTATTATTCACTGAGGTTGAACTTCAGTATAAGCTTTCTTCGTGTGTGACCAGTTGACAGGGGATGCTTACTGCTCCATGGTACCCAATCCCAACTCTGATGTTTAAGAGGTCCTTGATTGCTCTGCACCATTTTTATATTGTTTTATGGACTTTGATATTGAATACTGTTTGTTATCTAAATACCCTTTAAGTTTATATCTACTCAGGTCAAGTCATATTTAGCATAACAAAGAAAACCTTTATGTAACATACAATCGTAGCCGTGGAAATAAAAGAAATAAACAATAAAATGAGTCTGTATCATCTTCTCGCTTCGATATGTGGGAAAAAGACAATTGTCATGTGTCTGAATGATGGAGACGAGAGTTGAAATATTTTTTCAACTCAAAGTCGCACGACTCGCCCATGGATCGATTTATGAAATATCGGTATATTTATCCAATCAGAAATTTGTTAATTAAGAATTCGGTTTGAAAAAAAGATAATATATTTAAATTTATATAAATGTATCCAAGCTTAGAATGACATATATTTCCCATTAAGACTTCAGAAACAACAGTTACTATGATGAACAAGGTATTCTTTGGGGCTTTATTTGTTGTTTTGTTCAGACTCTCCACGTCTGTATCAAGACACTACACTGCTAAAATAGACTTAGATGATAACATTCTCCAGGAGAACCTGTTGGCTGAATATTACGTTCATTCACTGATTATGTGCTCAGCAATGTGTGGTCCAGGATGTACTTTCTTTGGTTTCAATTTACAAAGACAGAAATGCCGAGTTCACACCGGATGTCATTCAACTAATTCAGCAGGACCGGAAGTAGGATGGAGATACTTTATTCCGGACACGGAAGGTAATACAAAATATACTCGCCAATAAGTTGGTTCGCTAAGTCGTTTTTATTTTTTAGATTACATCACAGTAATTTACAATTAACCCGCTTTTAAGCGTGCGTGCAACTCCTCGCACTTTTTAAGCTTACTTGGTTTTTCGCACAAATAAAAGTCAAATTCTTTTTGCAATAAAATTAAAAATAAATTGAACTTCGCACGAGACATTACCCTAATATATGGCAAATCTTATGACAATGGTAGATGCTTAAAATCATTATCTTAAGTTTTCTTAGTCGAGGTTTTGAAGGTGACTTTATTAATAAATCGTATGATGTTACTTCTGTATGAATTTACAATACGTAGTCACAAATGAAATTGATCGACCTTCCTTTGATATTATTTATCTGTCATATCCAAACTGACTTCTTAACGATGAGCATTTTCTAAGTACTTTGCATATTTCCATACTTGTCTTGGCTTTGTCGAACCGTGGCCCCTAAAAATGGCAATGTTACCATAAGAAATAATGCAAAAGGGTTTGAAAGTAAAGGATTGTTTATCCCTTAATTGTTACTCTTGAATAGAAAATTATTTTACCGTAGGTATCTGAAACGTTCAACCTTCAAATTTTCAAACGATGGGGCGAATCTTTCATTATGCTCAATTTCAGGAAGTAACTCGTCAAAAAACCCAGCTTTTTAACAAGAAGAGCAGTTTAACAGATAAAAAATTACTTTTATCATCTTGCGCTTTAGAGTCATGTTAATGTGTAGAGAATAAAGATGTTGCATAGGCTTAAGTTTTTGTGTCTAGGCAAAGCAAAGAACTATTTTCAGATACAAAGACAGCTGCAGTCAACGAGAAACGAAATGAAAAACCACTTTGGAACTATCACAATCTATCAGACAAAAACATCAAAATCATACAAATTAATTTGTGAAAATTACGTCTTAAGTAAGAGAATTTAAATTAAGTCATGATCACTTTTAAGATAGTTTTAGTCTTAGGAACATTTTGTTGACTTACACAAAATTGCACTGTAACAATGTGGTATCAATTTGTGCAAAAAATCATGTGAGCTTAAAAGGTACCCGGAGCTCTATTTTTTTTTATCAGATTCTGTTGTCAATTCTAAATAATTATAGTTCATTGTATTTAACAGTGTCTCAAAGTATATTTCGCAGTTTTAAATCGTCAGTAATGTTGTATCGTACACCATAAGTTGAAATAAGCTTCATTCCTTAAATATTTGGGAACATAGTGTTCCGATGAGAACTTTTTATCAATGTATATCATGATACTAGTATTGAATATTTGAAAAGCTAGGGATCATAAGTGTGACTCAGCTGAAATCTCGCCTGGTGTTTTTTAAGGTACGGTATTTGGAAAAGTCTAGAATACGCCCCTATTTGAAAAAAAATCCAAGCAAGTTTAATAAAACAGGTTACTGATCAATAGCGTATTACGTTGTGATACTATAGTATTATTGAGAGTTTTAACAATACTTATCAGTAAAATAAATATCATCAA